ATATTTTGTGTCTCCTCTCAAATAGAGATATCTTTGAAAATTGACAGCGACACGAGGGCTCAGGGGCTCCAACGCACTCAACACCGTGTTAATGCCCCGGGTATAGTGGCCATTAGAGGAGGGCGACCCGCTTGACTGACATTTAAGGTAAACTGTTTAATTCCGTCCACTTATTACATTATCACTGCCAATGTGGCGCATCGAGGAGCTGAGGAAATGTCAGAGGGGCAGAAAAAGAGAGCAGAAAGAGCGTTAAACTGGATTTATATTTAGTAGTGAACAGTTTACAGCCTCTTATTTACAGCACGTGATCGCGTCATCCGTTTTAATAAAGCAACAAACTTTCAACAGCTTTGATAATGTTCCACAGTGTGAGGTTAAAGTGAACTTTACGGGCTCCCGTAGTCCATCTGACGCGGAGACAAATCAGAGTTTTTACACCCACTGCTGCCTCTCCCTCTCCACAGATGGCAGCCGGGGGCCTCTCTGCCCTCCATAAAGAAATCCTCCCAAAAGTTCGCTATATGTTTCAACCTTGCGTGCGATTTGTGCCAGCATTAAACTTCATTAAAGCACGCGGGGAGAGTTTTGGGGCACAGAGAGATATCCGTTCCAGTTGTAACAGCTTGCGTCGTGATTAAACGCGGAAGAGAAAACGGCCCCGTGATTGATTTTGACGCTAATTATAACCGACGAGCAAAAAAATACTTCTTCTTTGCTTTTTTTTTGCAAACACAGCCCATAGGTCTGAAAAAGTGGCACAGAAAATGAAAGAAGAAGAAGAATATTACCTTCTCCAGCTCCAGAAGATGAAATCGTAAAACTTGAATGGCTTGAATCATCTGAAAAATTAAAATAACAATAAAAAGAATTAGAGCCGATATTAAACAGGCCACGTTTTGATCTCAATACAAGGAAAATAATATTCATGTGAGTGGGTTTTTATGTGGGACTGATATTAAACCGTGGACGTTATTGCAGTGTGGAGAGCAGACATGCGGGAGTCAGAGAGCTATTAGGCAGCAACTAGTGAGGAAGACGTCGCTCTCATCGTCACGTTCACAGCAGCAACACTGTACGGAGTGGAGAAGTTTGGAGTTCAGAGGGTCGCGTCAGCTGTCTGACAATCGGCCCTTCATGGGGGGGGGCATGGAGATATCAAAAGGCCCCCCAAAAATCACCTCCAATCCTGCTCTGACTCTTCAGCACCACGTGGCTCTCTGACTCACACATGTACATAAACATGCAAACAACACACTCACTTTCCATATACATATATAATGTATCTTACCAGATTATCCAATTCTGGATTCGATGAAAATAAAGGTTTTTCTGCCCGAATCTAAAAGAAATAAACACAAAATATATTAATATAAAGGAAAGTTTCAAATCATTTACACCATGCAAGTGGTGACAGAATGGTGCATTAATTCATACTTTACACAGTCAACATACTAGATGAAATGAAAACATTTTGATTTGTTTTTTATTAATTTATTAGTGAATGGCATTTTATTTTCTCTCAACTTTACGCACAAACGGCACAAAAAACTTTCCTGACCTGTTTTGCAAACACCGCTATGTCCTCATTGAAGGATTCCGATGAACAGACGTCTCCTCCCGCCACCCCGGGCTCTCTGGGGGTGCACGTCGCTAATTCACATTTCTCAAAAATCAGTGCAAGCAGGGGGAACAGGGGGTGCCTGGGAACACACACACGCACACACACACACACACACACACACACACCACACACACACACACACACACACACACACACACACACACACAATAGCAAATGTCACCAGAGAGAACAGCGCGCGGGGTCAAGACCACTGCGGGCTTAGATTTAGCCAGCCATGCTACTCCTCTACAACTCGCCCGTGGGGACCGCTGCTGCTACTGCTGCAGCCGCGCTATTATATTATGCAGAGGCTCGGAGAAGGGCTGCAAACAGCGGGCAGACTTCTGTGATTAAATCTCGGCGCGCCTAATAGCATAAAAGCTTTAGAGTCAGTCAAACAATTCCTCGCACAGGTCTCCCTTTGGATCCCAGGCGTGCACGCACGCGTGTGTGTGTGCGCGCGTGTTTGTTTGGCGAGAGCCTCTGAAGCTGCGCACATTTGTTGATTATTTATTGTTTAAGTCGTCGGGGTAAATACGCGCAGACTGGTAATGTGCTGCAAGTTGTGTCAGTCTGGCGTGAGATGAGGAGAACGTGTTACAGTGAACACAGCATGCTTACAATCTTTCTTTTTTAATTAACTCCTGTAAATTAATAAACGACATGCATATGTGAGATCTTCTTTAAACGTGACATTTTTTAATTTTGCTGGCACATTAAACACAATGAATTAAAATGGCTACAAAAGTAATTTTGCACATAAATGATGAAACTTAAAAAATTAATTAAGCAAGTTAAATTCTAAAACAATATTAAGCTCTAATTAAAGTGGACGTTGTCTTATAATTATAATATTTTATCATATAACAGTCAAAATACATTTTTTTCCAGTGACTTAAATAGCAGGACATGTGTGAGATAAACTCCATAAGTAAACTATGTATTTAATATTTGTTCACCAGCAGAAACGAAGTGACAAACATAAAAAACATACAATTCTTAACTGTGCAAAAACAAAGGCAGCCCTTCTCCTCCCAGCGCCTCTGCAGCACTCTGGGCTCCGTCCCGGGCACTGAGCCGGTGCTTTTCCCACTCTCCCCCCTCCAGGCCTGGATGCACGCCTGCCCGCCACAGAGCGAGTTTTTTCCCCTTCCTCGCGAGGGACCGAGGGCTCGCACCTACCCGTATATAGCGTCTTTATCTCTCTTGAGAGCGTCGTTAACAGAGGAGCCCATACTGGGAGGCATGGTGTTGGTGTGGGCGGTGTGCGGATACTGGTGGGAGTGCAGCTGGGGCCCGTGGTTGAGGTGCACCGCCTGCATGGACCGGGCGCCGTGCGGGTCTCCGTACATGGTGGTCGGGATGCCCACCCCGTCCATCCCGTAGTGGGGCAAGTCTTCGTACTGCACACAACAAACAGTCCGCCGTGGATAAACATGCACAGCAATACGCTCAGAAGTCTGCTATGAAACCACAAGTCAGGAAACAGGTTTTAAAACAAAGTCTAAGTCTAAATCTGGCATCAGGGAGACATAGTTTCATGAATATCCAAAACAAGTCGACATTGTTTCAACATTGTTCTGAATTCAAAGAGATTTCCTGACACTAGTGAAGCGAGCTTTTCTTTTCAACACACTGACCCTCGTGACACAAAACCAGAGGAATAAATCCACCGCAGAGGTTTGATGTTTTACTATTTTACAAGAAAACAGGGTTTTAAAGACAGAAGTATAAATGAAGTTTATCAGGAGATTGTTTCGTGGGAACAAAAGACTGTCATCTATTCTTAAGAGAAAGCTTTTCAACCTACTCACAGTGACTATTGCAGCTCAATTCATATAAATTATTCAATATATTCATAAAATACTGCGAGGCCAAAAAGGTTCAGCTACATAGCTAGTTATTATTATTATAGTAATTATTGTTGTTATTACTGTTATTATCATTAACCAGGCTTGGTTTCACACCAGCAGTCTGTTTACTGGGTATAACGTCTTAAACTTGTTAATTGCAGTGTTTCCTAATTTTAAAGGCTCATAATTGTGCAACATGTCATTACCCATCAGGCACTCTGTGATTAGCGCATGCAGCAAACGCAAGTTAGCGCGTGTTGTGTGTTTTATTTTTCAGACAATGTTTAGCAAGAAGTGGACATTCAAAACTTTTTTTTTCACGTGTCAAGTTTGAAGTTAAATAACGTTTTTGTGTCTTTACGCAGTAGTCTGGTGCTTCTAATTAAACACTCTGCTAGTTTGTTAAAATGCAGAAATGTTGATTCGAGTATGATTGTTTTTATTTTGAAAGGGCTAAATAAAAGCTGTATTGGAGGTTGGCTTCTTTAACAGATCTTGAATTATTGATAGTGCCCTCTAAAAGTGCCGAGGAAAAGAGTTTTAAAAAAGCATTATCACTTAAATCAGAGCATTTTAGACCCCAAAGGCAAAGAGGTGCAAACCCCAGCGTGGTGCAGCCGCGGTGCCAAACTAAGCGGCTCAACGTGTCCAGCGTGTCCCAACATCTCGGCTTTTTACACCGTTTAGTGTCCGCGTGAAGATCCAAGCCGGCTGCTCCGGAGCAAGTGTCTGAGTCAAAGCGTTCGTCGTCGCCTCAGTACTAAAAAGAACAAACTGGCATTGTGCTAATATCACACGCTGTAGGACGTTTTGTAAAGTGATTTTTGTTTTGTTCAAAAACGCTCCGCTCAATATGAAAATCTAGTCCGAGCAGAAATGTGCAGATTTGTTTTTTGCCTCTCTGCCCTCCCCCACTTCGCTTCCAGTAACTGGCCCTGTCATAACTAATCCGAAAAACATAGGCGATGTGAGATATGATCACGCTTCCAATGTCCCTCAGCGGGGCCCGGTTTGCGGAGTGCGGCCGTGCGTAATGCCGTGCCAAAGAAAGACGCCACAACAAAAAGAATAGTGTCTCCATGTGTCAGGGAAGAGGACAGAAAACTTTCGCCGCGAGTGTGTGCGTCCGTGCGGGTCTAGTGTGTCATTAAGCCACGTTACAGTGCAGGATTGCGTTCAGGCACGGCAGACTTAGAGAAACTTTTTTTTTTAGGTGGGTTAAGGATCGTCCTACGTACCCGTTGCGCCATAACCCTCCTCACTCCCTGGTCGTCCTTTCAGCTTAGATAAATCCCCTCTGAGGCCAGGGTGGAGACGAAGTGAAGAAAGAAAATCCAAATAAATGGGGGAAGATGTTTCAGCCCAAAATCCCGTATGCCTCTTTTGCTTTTTCTCCGGTGCAGCCAGCCCCCGCTTCTCTGCGCAAGTTTAGCCCTGGCGCGGTGAATAGGTCCTCGGCTATCCTCGAGGGCAGCGGCGCCAGGCTCCTTTTCTTTCTCCCCAAAAAATAAAAATAAAAAACAACCAGGGTGAAAAATAAAATAGCCCCTCAAACAGAACTGGCGACTCTCATGGCTCGCTGCCACTCCGCTTGTCAGTCACAACGCGAGGGCTTGTCAAAAGTACCGGATGAATGATGGTCCGACGCGCGTCTCCACGGGACCGGCACCACCTAAACGTTAACGGTCACAATCACGGGTAAAAAATGAAGCAGCTTCTCCTCTCGCTTTCTTTGATCACTCTCGGCTCCCGGCTTGATTTTCTTATGCAAAAGCGTCTAGAGGAGATCAAGAGGAGGTGGGGTGATAATTCTGGCTTAGGCTTTTCTTAAAGGAGCCACGATCGATGCCGTGCGTGTGTGCGCATAGATGGCGTGTGTGTGCGCGCGTATGAGTCTGTGTGTGTATGCGCGAGCCGCCTTCTCTTTCCCCCCCCTCCTCCGTTTGTGTACAATGGGGATGTGTGTGCTGAGCTGAGGAGGAGCGGAGGATCTGGACCAGACTGCCGAAACCCGGAAGTAGTGGTGGCCATAACAGGTCGCGTCTTACACAACGCGCCGGGCTGCAGCAAGTCGTGCGGAGAGGAGGGGGGGGGGACAGAAAAGTGGGAGGACCCTGCCGAGACCGCACCGCGAGCTACAACGACGCGGGGGGATCGAAGCCGAGTGTCCACAGAGGTACCGCGGCATCCGAGTCCGCTTCTCAGAGAGACGCTTTAATCTTGAGTCCGGAGCCGTTTATAAACCACCGGAACGTCTGTGATCTGGATCGCCGCGTCCTGAATCCTGAATGCTCTGCTTGTGACACCAGCGTTACTCTCAGGTATGTTATGAATAAACTACACGCGCTGAGTTTTGACTGCATGGAACTTTATGAGTATTCACTTCTTTCATATAATAAATCACTTTATCTTAATAGTGGCAGGTTCAGCTTCTGATTGGCTGCATGCGTCCAAAGAGCCAAACATCCAGTCCTGCAGGTTTCGGTAGCTCACTATTAACTCACTATTAATCTTCTAAACAGTCTCTCTGCTTCCTACGTTTGCATTAATGCATCATATTTAATAACAGAAATGCCTTTAAAGTGTTTGGATACGTGTCAACCTCCATCAAAAGAACAATAAATACAACTTTCTTGAAGTTATTCTGGAAGAACTGTTTGTAATACATTTATAGTTATTGTTGTGTGCAGAATCAGAGGAATGCATCCACATCTCGTGTTCTTGAGTCGTGGAAACGTTTCAAAGCATCTTTTTACGTCTAAATAACAGACCC